TTGGTTAGGGTTTCGTTGGCGCATGCATTTGGTTAGGGTTTCGTTGGTTGGTTTAGGGTTTATAGAACTTGTATAGGGTTCAGGTCCAAAGTTTTGTGCGGTTTTGGGCAGGTTTTGTGCGGATTTTGACCGGGTTTTGACCAGATTTTTGTTTTAATTTTAAAAATGAAAGCGTGTGTGCACAAGTTCTATTTTATCAGTGCTTGAGGGTTTAGGGTTTAGGATATTCACGGCTCATGGCGTGCGCCTTTATCGGGGCGGCTATCGATCATTTTTTAACGCCGCCCCTCCCCATTGCGCACGCCATCACGTTGCGGACAAGCCCACCCCAAGGCCACCCAAACACAACTCTTTTAGGGTTTAGGGTTGCCCTCAGTCGCCGGGCAGGCTCTTGGCCTTTCTTTCTCCCCTCGCGCGTGCCCATTGATTGCATCGCTGCTTTCCCAAGTCCCGTGCCAAGATACGGAAGGCAAACAAAGGAGCATATGCAGGCAAAGCCGACAAGTGCAAAAAAAGAGGCGAGGCCGCAACGCCGGCGACTGAGCAAGGGGTTGCGGCCGAGCTTCAAGTTATTATAGGAAGTTAGTGATATTATGAATTCTATTCGAACCCAAGCTGCCGATCCGGGACTATGGCGCTAGTGTTTTGCCCGTCAGTATTTATAAGGTCCGCCGGCTTTGCGGAACAATGTTTCAACAAAGACGGCTCGCCGATTCGCCGTCTAAACGCAGGATGCTACGTTTTTTCGTTGCCACGCACGACCCTATGTTCTGTCCGTGGCCTTCGGCCAGAGGCGTCCACTGTTTTCAAGGATATCCTTCTTGGCCTAGAGCCATCCACGATGCGCCTACTGCACAAATGCGACAGAACTACCGCTCACTCCGCTCACTTGGCCGGCACGAAGTGCTCAGGCTTGATGTAGCCTCCCAAGAGGTAGTCGGCATCTTTCCTCACCCTGGATAAGGCCACATAGGCAGCGGCTGCGCACCCTTCTCTCAGGCCAAAACGTCACGTTTCTCTCTCCCCTCGCGCGTGCCCATTGCTTGCATCGCTGCTTTCCCAAGCCCCGTGCCAAGATACGGAAGGCAAACAAAGAGACATATGCACAACAAAGAGACATATGCACGCAAAGCCGACAAGTGCAAAAAAAAGGCGAGGCCGCAACGCCGGCGATTGGGCAAGGGGTTGCGGCCGAGCCGAAGAAAGAAAGGACACGTGGAAAGGAATGCGCATGGATCCGGCCATTTAGGTTTCGCGAATAGGGTTTGGCCGCCCGACCGATCGGCGGCCACGAAAATTTGTGGAACGGAATCTGTGCTTCTAGCCGTCGCCGAGAGGCAATTCTGTCCTACGGGGGCTCCGAGCGGCCTTTTAAAGGCCAGTCTGTGCTACGGGAAGCCGGCCGTGGTGCCCACCCCCCAGGATTAGCCGCGAGCCGGGCCGTTCGCCATTGAAATTGTATTAGAACTTAGACAAAATTAGACGTCCGTCCAAAATCGGGTTTCGACCCCGAATGCCAAGCCACGAGGGGCTTTAGAAGAAGAATCTGTGCTACCAGAGCCTTTAGCAGAGGATTCCACGGAGATTGGATGACTCCAGTAATCTG